ATTATCACCTTTCGTCAGTCTAACAACTTTCAATCTATTTAGTATATAGATATCATTGATCAGTCAAAGATATATTTAAGACTGCAAGAATTTAGAATGAAATATTGGCTATATTCCAAAATGTCATTGCGAGTGTCTTTTTATTTCCACATATTTTGATGGTGGCATATATATATAAATTAGGTAGGTATTGAAAACAATAAAGTAAATAAGAAACTTTTTAGGTAACAAAATTTGATGTAGGTTTATTTACATTTGTTTTAATTAAAAATACATAAACACAATCTGTAAGTTATTAACTGCTGGTGAAATTTTAATTAAATCTGTAAACTTCAGATAAATGCCAACATGATATGTCTTTCTATAATATTTTAGATATTTAATATTCATGTATAGTTTTGTTTTTAGTTGCACTACAATTTATAAATTATTTGTTCAAATAAAATAACTAGTTTAGAACACAATATTCAAAAAGTAGTTAAATAATTTTTATAATAAAGAAGTTACCTATAAAGTCTGAAATCAATTTTCATCAATATTGCCATTTAATGTAGATGCTTACATAATAGACGAATACTTATATAAATATTTTGATAAAATTAAATTATATAGATTTTACAAAAGAAATAATTCTGAGTTACTGTTTAAATCTAAAGTTTAAATTAATAAATAATGGTATATTATCAAGATTATTTTTAGATATATGTAGGTTTATTAATCAAAGCACTAGAAAATAGTTGGATTAGACAGTGATTATTGTTGAAGTTATTGATACTTCTTCTAAGCACCCAATTGTTCATACTTCATAAATCATTTTTTGGAAAGTTCTTGCTCATTTTTTAGGTGCACAATGAACTAAGTGTTCCAAAAAATTTGTAGCAGATACAATAACAAAAAAAAAAAAAAAAAAATTGTAAAATTATTTAGACAAGTGTGGCGTAAAAAGAAAACACTTAGATATATTATGTGTATAGGTATCTATTTAAAATCTTTCCAACTGAATATGAAATGTTACTAAAGGCTTTTTATTTTAAATGTTGTAAACAATTTAGTAATTGTCATTAATACAGATTTAATCACACTCGATTAATTATATTTGCGCATAATGAAAAATTATTAATATGTAGGTGGGTAGGTAATGTAAAAATAATACAATAATGATATACCCACACAGTGAATTGGAGTCAATTACAGCCTACTGAAATAACAGGTTTGATTAGAATGTTTTTTACATCAATGACTAAAAATCAACACGATAATAATTTTAGTAGGCAAGATCTAAGTGATTACCTGAGTTGCCACTTTCCAAGTCAGTAATTGTTGCATAATATTGTCAATAGAAATATATCATAAGAATTGTCGAGCATTAGCCAAGTAGATAAATCATGTTTTAAGCCAATAAAATACACAAAAAAATTAGGCATGAACTAGATAAATGGAAAGAGACGACTCAAATTCAATCGATGGAAAGTTTTATTTTCAACAAAACAACAGACGAAAAAAAATATAGCGTAAACAAATCTTACAATAGCCCAAGACCGTCGTGTAAAATATTAACAATTGGCAATTGGTTTAAAAAACCGTTGTAGCTTTGCAATAAAGGCATGATAGAACACTGCAGAAGACAGCACACAAACGTTGCACCGTCTGTCGTCCGTTCACGGGACTATAGGCCACTCGATCTTAAAACTCAATTGTCGGACTTACCGTCGAAGTTGTTGTAGTCTTCGGCTGTGTCTTCTCCACTCCGTACAGGATGCGGTCCATCTGCGCGTCTAAACTACACGACACACGCGCGCGCGTACTATAATCCGCAAGCAGACTCTACGAGTTTTCGAACATGGTTCGGCAATACACGAAAAGACAATTGAATTCCAATCAGTGAATTCGAAACAGCACTGATTCCGCCGAAAACAGTGGAACAACAACAATAATTAAAGTAATAATAATAACGATGATGATGATGATGATAATAAACTACTACTAATAATAATAATAATAATAATAATAATAATAATAATAACAAAAACGAAATTATTTTTCGAGTGAAAAAAAAATATATCTATATAGATAGGTAGCGGTAGTGAGGCGAAAGAACGTGTGAGTACGAGTTTCTGTATTTATGTGTGTGTGTGTGTGTGTGTGTACGTTCAAGACAGAAGAGAAGGATGCAGACATACGGCGAGATTAAAACATTGTGTATATCTATACATAAACAGAAGTGTGTGTATGTGTGTGTGTGTGTGTGTGTATTGTTTGTATATATATATATATATATATTGGTAGTACTTCAAACACAACGCAATCGGAGAGATGATAAAGTGAAAATCTCGTCGCAGCGGGTCGAAAGGAGACGTCGTCAGTGACGGCAAGCGACGGAGGACCGAGGCCGCTGAGACAAAAAAAATAAATATTGCATGCATATACCGGCTCATACTAGTAGTGACATCTGTCCGTCGAAAATATTATCTAAATCATATTTTTACAGTATCATATTATTATTATTTATTATGAATGATATAATAGATAACGTAATATATTATAATTTATAACAAATGTCAAGTAATTAATAATGAAAAATATTGAAAAATAGCTGCACTATAATAGTTATGGTTTCACGTTTCTCTGCAGCGGACGGGAAACAGCATGGGCTTTGATGCAACATCACTTAGTGGCTATTCGCCAACCTACATAAATAATGTTTTTTAGGAACATGAGTCGAAACTCGAAGTAACAGACGGTTTTGTCACAAAAGTTCCTAAATATATTTTGCTTCTGGACATTCTTGATATTGACATTTCTCTTGTAACTAAAACATAATAAGGTACCGCACGTCCCATACCCCCATACCTGGGACATACAAGAGATGATTAAATTTGCTTTGATGTCTCTGTCTGATATTTTGACTACATGACAGAGTTTAATAGGTATCTATGAATGCTAAGTGGTAAGCATACAAGATAAGTGCATTTTCAAATCCATGGCATATGTTATTTAGATTTAGTTATAATTTTTGTGCAAATCTTTTTGGCAGACCAATAGTAAAATTAGTCCTAGCCTGTATTTTTAATTTTATTTTTCAAAGAATTATAAAACTAATGTGTTATTTTTGAAAATATGCTTTTTATTGTAATAAAAAATATGGTTAAAAATTTAATTTTTTAATTTTATAATTTAAGTAGGTAATATACTTTTTTTTTTTATTTATGTCAGCATTATCTTAAGTCATCAATAATAAATAAATAATAAATAATAATGTGCACAATTGATATATGTTTAATATTGATATAAGTTAAAAGTACATATTATGTAAGTTTTTTGATATGAGAAATTTTGATGAATTGGGTCTTTTAGACTTTGAACAAGACTTTAAACTTCAATATAAAAAGGAAAAATTAGGTTGTACATTAGATGTTGAATATACTTAACCATCAAGTAGGTCATCAAGTATGTTTTTAATTTGAATTCAATAATAAGTCAATACTGACCAAAAATGATTCTCAGAAAATACAATGTCTTGTTTTATATTAATAAGTATAGGAATTTTATGATATATGGTATATTTATAATAATATTAAAGTACTTTATTTCACCATTTTCAATATGGTATTTTGGATTAATTTTTGCTAAATACATTACATTTGAAAATGTCTATGTGTATTAAATATAATAACATATACTGAAATATCTACAATAAAAGTTTCAAATTCCCACGGATAATATTTCTAAATTAAAAAAATAACTACAAAAATTGTTATTTTTTAATTAAATATTAAATTTTCATCAAATTTTAATTGAAATGTCTATAAAAAGAATTGTGTTGTATTTTTCAGTTACCAACAATATGAAATATTTATGAAATACCTATTATTAACTTTTCAAGCCTTATCCATCAAACTTAAACATTTTATAAATTTATAACAACAAAATAATTTGATGAATACTGAAGTAATGAATAATATTACTAGTTAGATAATATATAAGTACACTTTTAAAATAGGTAACTACTAAATAGTAATTAAGTAACTACTGATAAATTATAATTTGGTATTTGAGTTTTAAATTTATGACAAACAAATATCCAAATACAAATTTGAATTTTTTATATTATTCAATATTGTCAACTAAATACTGATCAATGGTAATGATTTAGCCATGGCTGGGAATAAAAATATATGTAGTCCATATTGTTCATATTGTTGTTTATAAATAAAGAAGTTGTTGTCATGACTACAGATATACACTATAGAGTATATTAAATATTTTTCATAGTAAAATATAAATGATCACTAATCAAAAAATAAACACAATATTATATTGTAAGTTGTAACCTACTCCTTATGATATTCTGTCATGTCTTTTATCATATTTTTTAGATTGATAATATTATCAGTTGCTCAAAAAACGTGAACAGTAAGCACGGTTGTTAACGGAGACATTTTACAATATTTACAGTAAAATTGTTGATTAGGAATAGTCGGTCGTCGACATATCATTTATCAGTTATCTTGAAACATCAATATTATTGTTATACAATATACATTATTTATGTATTAATGTAAATTTAAAAACAACGTAGCTGTATATTATAATAATTGTACTCAATGTTTGAATTGTTTCCTTAATTTCAATAAAAAATGAATAATTAATCATTTAGTTTCACGTCATGGTAGGTATCATAATTTCTTTTAAATGTTTTACTGTGGTCCAATAAGAATTTTATCAATTAAACTTAATATTACAATAATTGATGTACTTTTTAGTTAAATTAATATAAATTTTAATTAAGTATTGACTTAAATTAAAAAATAAATAAATCTGTTATCATGTATTAATTAATTATTAAATATGTATAGCAAATATATTATTTTATCTTTGATTCAAATTAAAATATCTTATTTAAAAAAAAAAGTATTTTACTATCAGTGGATGAAATAGATAAAAAAAGTACATGATAATTATTGTTCTCCCTCTATGCTTTTTTTCTAACTGATATAGTGGTATAATAACAAAATAAAACAAAAATGCTGAGTACTCATTTGTTTTGACTAATATTCTTGTATTTATGGACTGCTGACTATATGCTGAGTATGCTTTTTAATATTTAAACTTTCTTCTCACCTTAAATAGGTGTAATTACTTATCAAAAACATCATTAAAAATGTGTTTCAATTCAAAATGTTAGCAGAACACAAGATTTATTTATTAGTTTTCATTATAACCTTTGTAGAATTATTTTATTTTATTATGTATGCAATATTATGTATACATTATAATGCACTAATTAATGATTTCAACTTGACATATCTAGAATAATAGTTATTATTCTTGAAAATTAATAGAATATTAAGGAATTAAATATTTTATTTTGAATTTACATTTCAGCTTTTTATCAAGGTAGATGAAGTTATGTTGTTTCAAATATTTGAAAAAGAAGTAATCCAGTAGTTTTTTTAAGAACTATAATTTGGTACATTATGTCAACTTGCATATCTAATGATTCAAATTCAGTAAATGGTAATGGCTAATTTTGAATTAAATCTTTAATCTTATACTCTTAATATATATAATAATACAATTTAAAGTTTATGATTTATACACTTAGAGATTCAGATATAACCTAAATAATTATTTATTTTTATGTAAGAACTTAAATTTAATTGTAATTTTTAGTTTAATTTCATTATAATATTATGCAGTTATTTATTTCTTAAAATACATTTTAAATTGTAGAAAGATTTTTTGTATTTCAATTATTATTTTAACTTTATTTCTTAATTAATTATTTTAAAATGTTTTAGGTATTCCTGTATCGCAAGTGAATTATTTTTGTACTTATTGTCAAGATGAAATCTCAAGTTTTCCATGTCAATCAAATACTGCTTATAACTCAATAATTATTTTTGTGCATTGTGCTATTTGTGAAGATTTTTTTCTTTGTTTAATGGTAACAATTAATTTGTAAATATTAAAACTTAAATTGTTTATTTAGTTATTTAGTTTTAACAAATGTGTTGATCATTTTTTTAAAGTTTTATTTAATTTGTATATAAAAGTTATAATATGCAATTAATATCATGTATAATTAAAAGATTTTTTTTTATTATTTTTTAACATTTTTATTTTCCATTAAATTAAAATAAATTATATAATGTGTCTAAATGTTTATTAATTTTTAGAGATTTCAAGTTCATGTAATAAATAATACATAAATAAACACGCAAAAAATTAGAAAAATATGTGCTGTAAAAAAAAAAAAATCAAAAACAGATTTTAAAATAAGAAATATCTGTTTACTTTTAAAGATTGTATCGTATTCTTGTATTCTAATCAATAATAATATTGTCATAACTCTATCATAAAATTTACAAAATCAAAACTGTGGTTTATAATGAAAATAAACCTAAACAATATTTAACTGAAATAATATGTGCTAGTAACTTCTAAAAATTAATTATGGATCAAATATGCTAAAACACCCAAAATGTGCACTATTAAGCTTTATATTTTTTTACTATTGTTACAAAATAAATTTTTATCTCATATATATATATAAATTTATAATATTGTATATTTTAAAATAGACGTTGGGTATTAAAATTTTAAATAGTAGTTATTTTGTAATTTTAAGTATACTAATGTCTTATAATTATTATTTTAGTGTTTTTCCAGTGGAGCTGAAATTGGCTTCCATAAAAATTACCATGATTATAAATTAGTTGTAAGTATAAGTTACATGGTTTATGTTGAATGTAATCGGACATAATTTTACATTGATTCAATTACAGACAATTTTTCAATCAAGTACTTTTTCAACAAAACTTTTGGATGCTTTAGAAGAATGGATTTCTGAAGACAATGAAAAATATTTAGGATCAAAAACACTCATAAATAGCTGGGAAAATGTTGCTAGTATAGTTGGATCTGAAAATCCTGAAGGTTTTTTAAATAATTTATTATTTAATTTTTTTATTTATTTACCTTATATTTTATGTTTTATATTTTTTCAAGATGTGAAAAAAGAATATTACAATAATTTTGTTGACGGATATTTTGGTCAAAATGTTATTAAACTAGTTAATAAACATACAGGATATCCTCAAATTGTAACATTAGATCAAGCCATAGCAATGGGTTGTTTAGAAAATTGTCCTATTTATTTTCCAACACGTAAAGTATGTTATACCTAATATACTTAATACATTATCATTTTTTTTTTTTTTTAGTGTTAAGTCATTGCCCTTTAACCCTAGATCCAATATAATTATTTATTTTTTTTATAACTTTGTTGTTTTACATATATATTTATATTTTTTTTTTTACAGTACTTAAAAATTCCAGCAGATAGAGAAAAAGTAGAAGATTATGAAATTATAGAAGAAAATATTAGATTTAATCGATATAATAATCAGGTACCTATTATTTTCAAATAAGTTAGAAGTTCCCAAAAATTTCACGTTATGACCAATTTTGGAAAATGTTTACGTTTTGGTGACCGACAACATTCTAATGACATTTTTTTTTTCATAATTAATCACTATCTTTGTAATAACTTAAAGTCTCATAGAATTATGGTGACATGTCATTGGTATACTTGTAATCATCACAGATAATGATTGCTTATAAAACTAAATTGAAACATTAATATACAATGTAGTTACTATAAAAATTGTATATTATATTTCATTAAATTAACTCATAAAATATATCTTTATTAAAAAAAAAAAAAAAAAATTATATTTAAATACTTTTTAAACTTAACGCATCTCATAATTTAGGAGCCTATTAATTAGATAATTTTTATATAATATAATACATCCATATCATATTTATACCAACGCACTGTACTATATTGTGTGGTACATTATACTAAAAAATCAACTATAGGAAATATAATATTTTTTATTTTATGTGTACATTTATTTATTATGCATTTTTGGTAATTAACATTTGGTACATAATATATTTTAACAATAAAATTAGGTCATTAAATTTGAATTGTAATTATTTGTTAATAACTAAAACTAATTCACCAACAAGTCATATTAAAGTGTTTATAAAATTTAGGAGTTATTAATATTTTCTCATAGAGTTGAATGTTATTTTAATTGAACTCTGTTTAACAAGAAAACATGCTATTGCTTGATGAAAATCTATTGTTCTTTCATTAACTATATTTTTACTTGAGATATTTTAGAATTGATAATTATTTTGTATATAATATGATGGTGCCTGAAGGTTATAATTTACAATTTTTCAAAAGTAACAATTAATAAAAATACTTCATTTTTATCATGTATTTATTAAAAATTATAGAAATAGACAGACTTCACTATGGTATGATGTTGAGTAGGAATATTCAATCAGAGTTCTCTTGTTTGAGAGAGTTAGTACTTATAAGAATTTAGGATAGTTCTGATTGATTAAATACATTCTAATCATGTATTTTTAGTTTGAGGACTTTTAATTTTTAATAAGTACATGATGTAAATAAAGACAATATTAAATAATTATATAGTTAATAATAAAAAAAAATATTAAATTTTGTACTAATATAAAACTTTATATGTATTTAAAAATTATTTTTATTTTTATAATTAGGATCTGTTATTACAAAATAAGAATATATTAGATAGTTACCAATTACAATTATTATTACAATGTGTTGGAGAATTTGGTTATGGAAATTGGGAAGATATATGTAAACTGTATAATTCAATTGTACACATGGAATATCCAAGAGGAAAACGCACATATCTATCAGCAATAAGTAATTCGTTTTGTTTAATTGCTTAAAATATTATAAAATTAAATTAATACTATGTTAATATGTATTGTGGAAATGCAATAGATTTGTTATGTATATAGTTCAATTTTTTTTATTTTAATATAACCAACATGTTTTAAGTAAATACAACTATTAGTTAAGTAAAAATAAAATTAATTTAAAATCAGTTGTGAATTATGAGAAATACTTATTTGGTTTGTTTTTTAGTTATCTAGAGACCATAAGATACAAAAATTATTGATAAGATACAATATTAGTTTATTTTTAGTTAAAATTTCTTAATATAAATAATATGCATTATTTAGTCAATTTGTTAAAATTAATATTAATAAATATTTATAAATAGAAATTAAAGAAGAATATGTACTTCGTTTTATTCAAAATCCTATTTTACGTGGAACTTGGTTACCATCTTCTATTTTAAGACCTCAAATACCTGATCGAACAAAACGTATTGAAGGACCTAGATGTGAATATGAAAATATTTTAAAAAAAGTAAATTTTATGTTGTAACTTTACATTTAGTTAATATATTTTTGATTATATATTTATTGAATATCTTCTTAATTATTGTTTTCAGCAACTTCCTATTGAAGATTTGGATATTTTTTTTTATCCACCCCCATTAGATGATGTAGATGAATATAAATGTACAGTTGAAGAACCAAAAATTGACGCAAATGAATCAGCTGAATCTAAAAGTTTGTAGAAAAAAGAATTTTTAGTTTATGAGATATTTTTAATTTAAGGAAATATAAACTTCAAATAATGAAGTATTAACTTAAGACTTATGTTAGACCTAATTTATTAAGCTCACAATTAGTTAGCAATTTTCAAAGAAAATTGACTTAATGTACTAACATCATAAATATTCCTAGATAATTTTAAGTTTCTGAAGTCATTATTATAATTTATCATATTTATTTTGTACTAGGAAAATTACAAAGAAAATTTTCTATTATTTAGTCTTCCACCTTGTTTAAATTAATAAGTTGTTCAGATGTTAAATGAAACTTAAGAATCACTGTCATCTAGTATTAAAAAAAATGTAATTATTTAAACCATGTGTGCACACAAAAATAAAAATGTAAATTCCTTGTAAAAGCATTACATCTTTTAGATTCAATAAAGATAAAAATTTCATTGTTAATTTTAAATTAAATCAAAACAATTTTATGTTATATATTGTATGATACTATAATAATACTAATTGTTTTTGTTTTAGAGAAATGTTTAGTTTGTACTTACTGTCAAGATGAATTTGAAGTTATTGGTTATAGAACGGACAGCCATAAATTTTCAAATTACAAATTAATTACTGTATATACCTGTTGCTCAAATAAACAGACTTGTGAAAATTTTTATTTATGTCTAGTGGTTAGTAGTAAATTTATATCATATACATTTTACCATTATTTGCTTTATATTCAGTGTTTATTTTATCAAACACTCATTATTTCAAAATTTAAAAAATATTTTTCTTGCATAATTAATAATTAAAATAAAACTACTATTTAAAAAAAAAAAAATTATGTTTTTTAAATTTGTTATTATTATTATTATGACTTTTCAAGTTGCTTACTTTTTGAATGACAACATACGTTTTTAATTTCATATTCTATTATAGAATATTTTTCAGGATATTTTAGTGAATAAAAGTTAAAATTTAGACAAGTAGTTTATTAGTTATAAGTATGGGGAGCAGATTAGTTGATCAACTTTTTTCAAGGTGTCCCTATATCCCTCCGCTTCACTCACCTAAATCTTAAATATTTTTAACACAAAAACTCATACCAAATTTCAATTTTTATATACCAAAATACTTTAAAATACAAAATTAAAAACGTATGTTATCATTTGAAAATGTTAATACATTTTGAAATCATGAGTTGTTTAATAAAATAATCAATCTGTAAAAATTTTAAAATAATAATTCTATATGATTGTAGTGTTTTGCAAGTGGAGCTGAAATTGGAAAACATAAAAATAGTCATGGTTATACTTTGATAACTGAAGTGAAAGTGTGTATTTCATTTTTTGTCATCTTTTTTATTTTAAGATTAAGACTTAACAGCTTAGGTTATTAGCTTAGTGTAGAGTTACATTATTTGTTTTTAAAAAATTAAATAGAATATATTATAAAAGATTTCACGTTTATTTATCTTATCTCTTAATAATATTTTTACCTTATTTTTTCAGACTTATTCTAGTGAAGTTTATTTTCAAGGGTCCAATTGGACTGCTATAGAAGAGTTAGCATTTTTATATGCTTTAGAAGAATGGTTATGTGATCACTCTGATAAATACATAGACCCATTAAATTCTGAAAATTGTATTACAGATTGGGATTCTGTTGCACAACATATTAGATCAAAAAGTGTGAATGGTAATCTAATAAGTATTTTTGGAGTTATAATTTGAAATATTTATTAAAAACTAAAAAGTTAAATGTACCTTACCCAGTTACTCCTAAAACATAAATATTTTCAAATTGAAATCAGAAATTTTTAACTCAAATTGTTTACCTTTATGTATCTGTCTGAAAAATCAATTAAATAAGATTTAAAAATTTTGGAACTTAATTTTTTTTTCACAATTTGTTGTAATTTAAAGTGAACTACTATTGAGTAGTATATGTATGAAATAAAAAAAAAAAATATATATTTTACATAGAATTAAAAAGTTCTCCACTGAAAAAACTTATTAATAATTTAGCTCTTAAACTTTTTTAATATAAATAAATATTTAGTTAATTTATTTTACAAGTAGCAAGCCATGACAACAGTTTTTGATTTCTACTAGTATGTGACCACTTTTTTAAAATTATTCCAGTAAATTTAAGAAAAACTTTCAAAAAAACTGTTGAAATTATAAAAATAAACATATAATAAATAATTAATAATTGTTTATTATAGCTCTCTAAAAGAGTGCACAACTTTCATAAAAACTTCTAAATTATACAATTTGCCAAATACCTAGAAATGTTAAAAAAAAAAAAACATATTTATGTGAAATAAAATAAGTATTTCTTACAAATTGCTTTGCTTATTTAATTCATGGGTTTTAATGTTTTTATTTATTTGAAATAATCATACATTTACCTATTATATGAAAATATTGTTTAAGTAAATTTATCATTCTAGTTTAAAATGATGATTTATATCTCATATTTAAATCATTTTATTTATTTAGAAGCAAAAACAGAATTTGAAAATTTTATTTTAAATTCAAGAATTTGGCAACTATTTAACATATATGCCCATGTTGAACCTTTAATCACATATGAAGATGCAGTTGAAATGGGATGTTTCAAAACTTCTAATAAAATTTCTAGTGTAAGTAAAAATATAATTTGTCTCCAAATATAATTTTTTTTTTTATATATACATATAAATATTAAGTGAAAAGTACCATCAAACATATAACAGTTAATAGGTAATTTATTTTCAACTTTGTTATGCATGTTTAAATATTATTTGTTTAATAATTTCATACAAGTTATTTAATTATAGTTTATTTCCTAAAGAATAAATTAATATTTTAACCTAATAAATGTGTCTAAAACCGAATTTTTAAATTGTTCTCTCATTAAAATATGATTTATATTTCAATCAAATCTTAGAGCACAAATTGACAAATTCAAAATGGTTATAAAATTTATTCTGAATTAAGTTTTGTATTGTTACTTAGTTTATTTAGTTTACCATATTTAAAGTTCTGTCATAAGCTATAAAAATTAATATTTTTTAATTATGTTAATATTTTACTAACATAATATAAATAGTCTGTAAAAATATGACCAATTTTTTAATTTATATTTCTCTATATTGGTACTAATAGTACCTATTTATAATTTGTAATTTTTGAATGTTTAAGAATTTTTAATTATAAGCAAAATTAACTAATAATTTATTTTATAGATAATAACCGACACAGGAGAAGGAATAATAGAAAATGAAAAAAATACGTGGAATAAATCAGATTTAGAGTTATTATTAGATTATACGGCTATATATGGTTATGGTAATTGGGAAAAAATTTCAGAAGAATTCAATAAAACTAATTTTTACGAACATTTTGGAAAAGTTAATTGTTTTATCATAAGAACTCCTGAAGGTATGTACTACATTTTTTGTTAATATTTTTTTGATTCATATATGTATATAACTATATAACTTTTTAATGTTTGATATTACATTATTTGATTGATAAGTAAACTATAAAACTAATTACAAAATATGTTTTTTATTTTAATTTATATATTTAACAGAAATAAAAAAAGAGTATTTACTTCGATTCTTTGATGATCCAATTAGACGAGGAACTTGGAAACCACTATCAAATAAGCCTATCATTTTAGATCGTACATGGTCTTTCAAACAACCTGTTAAAATGAAATATCCTGTAATAGATTATAATTTATTCGCCCATACTAGTTATAATAATGTTGCTGATGAATTTGAATATGTATGAAATTTTCATAAATAAAAAATAGTTATCTAATTATGTTTTTATAATTATTGATATTAACTACTTTAAATTTATTATTTTATTAGCCTTATATGAATATAGCTGAATCTTCTTTGGACCATGTGGAAGATTTTGAAAATAATTTAGAATGTTTTCATTCAAAACTTTCTATGGAAAAATATAACGGAACTATCAAAGATATGATGGATACTAAAAATACCTTTGTAAGATATACCGTCATATAAACCAATATTGTTTATGTAATACATTTATTTATAAATTACTCCCTTTAAAATTAACATGTTGTGTAGTAAATCTTCTTATATTATAAAGTAATATCATGCTACTACTCTTAAATGAATTGATGATTGTAGAAACGACACAAATCAATTTATTAAAACTTTTGGATAATTGATAAAAAGTGTATAATTTAAATAATTCTAAAAAAATTCTTATTTAAAAATGAATACTTGTAGAAATATATTATGCACTGATCATACGTATGTGTAAATAAAAATATGATGTTTTTTTTATTATTAACTTTCAAAGTTTTCTGACTCGTGACGTTTCACAAAAAATGTGACTCATGTCGTTTTTGCAAACATCAATTCAAATGATCTTAACACTTAAATTTATTTAAGTATAAGCAAGTAATATTAAATGATGATTAAAATTAATAGATTTTGTTTGATTACAGTATTTTTTTAATGTGAATAATTGTAATTTATATTAACATTTTCTAGGAATCAAAAGATCCATGTACAAGTACCATGCTCAATATTAAAAAAAGTAATACAGTCTAAAAAAATATATATTATTTATCAAATCATTAATTATGTTATTAATCTATTACAGTTAAAGCATTAATTGCTCTAGAACGATATAATGATGTTTTGTGGAATCGAAGAATAGCTAAAAAATGTGTTCATAACTATAGATTAATTGAACATTTTGCAATGTACAAAAATAAAGAATTACCAAAAATAAAACCATTGTGAGTATAATTGTTTATAATATGAATTAATAACTTAAAACACATTTTTCTAACTTTGATTTCCATTTATTTAGGCATTTGTAATTATTTTACCACTATATATTACAAAAATTATAATATAACATAATTTTACTTTACTAAATAGAACTAAATTTAATTCAATAGAACTAAATTTTACTTGTACTTTAAGTAAATTATTTTTATATTTTGTACTTCTACCTAATTTCATAATAACATGTAATATTATTATTTATATTTTTATAGTGGCACCAAACTATAAATTGCCCATTTATTATGTTAAGATCAGATTATGATAATACTGTATTTTAAAAAGCACTTATTCTAATTTATAAAAATAAACTACATTTTGAAAGTTCTCAGGCCGTTATATTATTGGGATGAATAATCATTAAAAGTTATATTGTATTTTATTTTAATTGAAAATGTGTATAATTATATGTTTTTTTACTTACATTTTTAGCTCTGAACAAACATTAGTGGAGCGTTTAGTAAAAATGTCAAGATTTATGAATATTGACGTTCATAGGGCCTTGATTGAAGGATTAAAGAATGAAAAACTGCTGAGACTGAGATTAAATGAATTAAAATATTACAAAAAATTAGGTTTAACAAAATTATCTGATATCAATAAATTAAATAAATTACAAAAACGTAAACGTCAAAAGGTAAGTGAGATTTTTAAATAAATTTTAAACACTTATTTTTCAAAATAAATTATTTTATACATAGTTTTATTGTTAATTATTTTTGTTGTTTTTTTTTTTTTTTTTTTTTTTTTTTTAGAAACGGTCAGTGCATCTTCATACTGAAGATAAGTCGGATCATAAATGTCAAGTATTAAATGAACTTCTTATACCATCAGGATCTAATGAAAATGGGTAATTAAGTTAATATATTTAGTGTTTGAAAAAACTATGATTAACCACTTGGTTATTATTATCTATAATTTTAAATTCACGAGTTAATTAAATATTCATTCTTTGAATTGTTTACTATTTATATGGGTCAATATAATGTAATAATAATATAAAATATATTTTATCACTAATTAGTAAGATTTGAGTTTAAAAGCAAATGATTAATTAAAATATGTAAGAATGTAATTCTTATCTGTATACAAATTATTTTCATCCATTACTATTGTAATGGAATACTCTTGATTTCACCTTATTGTTTTAAAAAAATAAAATAAATATTTTTTGTAAAATCACCAACTTATTGCAATAATTGTGGACATATTTTCAATACAAATATGATTTTTGATGAAATGTTTGAAATTATATTAATATACACATGTGTATCACTAATACTGAGATACTTTAATGTATTAGCAATGTGCTTATCAGTGCTAAATTATTATAAAAATACATTATTTATCTTCTGTTAAAATGTGTTTTAAATTAGTAAATTGTATTGTATTATGCCAGTGCATAGATGATAGTTGATTGGTGGAAGAATAATATATTTTTTTATTTATTTGTATTTCATATAATTTTTTTTCTCCAATTTTAAGTGCTGTTTGTTATATTTATTTTGTCTCAAAATCCAAGCCCTACTATGAGTATGAATAATGCTATAAATTGATTTTTTAAAAATTAATAGATTCAATGGATGTATATGTATCAATTTTAAATTATAAATATTAACTATACAACCTTTAATAATTATCTGTTAATCGTTTAATTATTTTGCTCAACACTAATTCTAATTTCATATTTTATATGATAATAAATTATAAACTATTATTTACATAAATTTAAATTAATTTCAGTATTATATTATAAAGGTATATCAATATATTTGTTCAAAATTATATAAATTTCAAAACAAAACTACAACAATAAATATAAAAAATTGTTATCAAAATTTGAAAAAGTGGTAATTTATTTGTATATTACTATATATTGAACTATTCATTAATTGACTTTTGTTTCTGACTCTTAAAAATACAAAATATGTTCATTTTTAATGTACTATTAATGCAGAACAATTAATAATATTCATGTAGTTTTACTTTTTTATAATATTACTGTCATTTTTTTTAAATTTATGTAATATGTTCAATGTTTCCCCTTTTAAAACTATTAAATTCTAATTGTATGATTTAGAATAAGTATTATTACATATAAGTTTTAAAAATGTTAGAAATATATACTGCATATACCATTTGACTAATAATTCTTGTACAAAAAAAATATAAAATGTTTAAAATATCCATTCAATTCTAGGAAATTCATGAATATTCAATATATACTTTTATACTGTACTCTGTTCACTCACTAACAGAAGTGTTATAAAAGGAGGATAAATAATAATTATAAATTTGTACAAATTTGCATGTTTATTTTTTCTTATGGATAATTTGAGAATATTTGCTTATTTTTAATGTGTTGATTATTTGTATGTAAAAAATATTTTAGATGACCTCAAGTTTTTATATATAGATTTAATTATCTTGAATATTATACTATTATTTTTCAGTATGAACTACTTATAATAACCTACTTTTTATTAAATTTTCAAATCTTAACTTTAAAATTCAATATTTAATCAACTGCATATTCATAAATTTCTATGATTTTGATGAATTTTGTAAAAAATCTTCAATTTTATATAAAAAATTGTGTGTAGAGATTTTTAATATTTTTAAATAATTATAATAAAAACTTATAAAGGAAGCTTTAATTTTTATTTTCAAGTTTTTCTATTTCTTACACCTATAAATTGTTCTAAAAAATTCTAAATATGCTGTGAAATATTATTACTACATTCTTATTAAATGTGTGTATAAACATTTGATGAAAATTTCAAGAATCTACAGTTATTTGTTTTGATTGGACTAAAAGTCAAATCAAATCAATTTTATCAAATATTTACTTGTTTTACATAAAATTTCTAGTTTTTTCTCAATTATTTTAAAAAGTACTGGAAAATGTTTAATTGTCCCCAAAAATACTAATTATTGAAAATAAAGCAGTTTTACTGCCTCATAAGATGACGTCATACTGAAAAAAGAACACAGCATAAAATCAATACATTCATCACTTTGTTCAGAATCAAAAATTTATAATATTGATTTGATATTTATAAATATAAGGTTAAAAAAAAAATAGTATTTATCTTATTTTTCTAAAATTAATGTTTATTTTTCAGTTATGTTCAAAATACAACTTAAACTCAAACTATTATTTGAAAAAAAAAAATGTGAGATATTAAACGTAAGTACAAATTGTGTTTTTTAATTCTAAATGTAAATTTCTGTACATAATATTAAATACTAAATAATTTTAAATATTATTATGAGTATTTAGTGTAGTATTATTTATATCTATGTTATAATAAATTTATGTTATAAAATTTTTTTAAATAAATGTATTGTGTATATTAATTATTTTATTTTATGTTGTTGACTTTAATTTTAATGCATAATAATATAAAGGCAAGTATAAAATATATCTCTTTTCATCAATAGAAATGTTTTTAGTTTAATAAAAAAAGTTAGATAATCTTTACATTATAATTTCTATTTTTAGCACTTAAATTTTGACATAAATTTAATATTTATTAATGAAAAAAAATATCCATTCAATTTGGTAATTAAGAAAATGTTATAGTATTAGATTCTATTATTTATTATGCATTAAGAAACTTTAAGTTCCACAATAAATATTGCAGTTGTCATACAATGTATTATTAATTATATAAATTTGACAAACAATACAATTATTAATTTATCTATTTATGTAATTAATAGATACTTACTTTTTAATTCTTTTGGAACTGTTGATTAAAATTTTTATTATACCTTTAAGTTATAATTTATCATTTCATAATATTTTTATTATTTGAAAAAAAATATTTGGCATTTTGGTTGATAAGCAAGGGTTAAATTCCTTAAGCATAATATAAATTAGTTTATATTATTAATTTTTAAACCTGTTTTTTTTTTTTTTTTTTAGAAAACTGCGTAGTTTGAAATTAATCTTAGTTCATAATTACGAGTTTATAACTCATTACTTATGTGTACTTGAGATTATATTTTTAATCTTGTTTGTTATTAAAATCATAGTTATGTTTTTGTTATAATTGTTAAAAATTGAAATTTTTTTTTTTTTGGTTAAACAATAAAGTAGGTATAATACCAAAAATAATTATTTTAAAAATAAATAAATAAATTAAAATTAATTTTATATCTAATCGCCAAATATCTAATTAATGGATGTATAACTTAAAAATAAGCATATTTGAATAGGTATACACTTACTGTATAAGAATTAAAGTTTTGAAATAATATAATTATTTATTTAAACAATTAAATTTAATGACACAATGATTAAATTATATAGAAATATATATAATATATTTAAATAAAAAAAATTTGAAAATATTAATCTATATTTTATTGTAATTAATTAAATTGAATAATATCTACTTTGAGAGGTATAAATACTATTAGAAATTGAATTAAATTAGTATTTATATTAATAATTAATAAAATCATTAAATGTTATAAAGGAATTAAAACAAATAGGTACCTATTAAAATTGTATTGTTGATGAATAAAAATAGCAATATGTATATACTAAAAATGTATACACTTTAAATATACTTACTTGTAATTATGGTTATAAATGTCGTTTTTACTCTATAATGTGAATTATTATTTTGATATATTAATGTATTATACCTTATGATTTTTCCTTAAGTTGTGCATTATACCCTTATTTGTAATCCTATTTCTAATTAATTTCCATTAATATGTAAATTAAGTTCATACTTTATATCTAGTCTCAAAACAATATAAATTATCTAGTTTCTATTTTCAATTTATTATATTTTTGAATCAGAGAAGTCTAAATTAGCACATGACACGGTTAAGTTCCTTGTAAAATAAATTATTATTAATTACATAATATCAAAAATGTACCTAACTGCTGTAACAAAATATCATTATTTAACCTATAAAATAGATTTAATAAAAAATGTATAAAATGTGTAAAGCTAAAGTTCTGAAGCATTTTTTGGCCATGGTAATAATATTAATAAGTATTGGTCTACTGACTTCTTAAGTTTATAATTAAAACATTAATAATGAAATACTTCATTAACATTTTAAGATGTTAGACTTGCTTATATACACAATAATATTGTAATATATGAATAACTTTAAAAGGATGTAAGCACACTTAATAGTTTTCCCTTACTAACCCATGCATAAAATATAGAAAATTTGTGTTATTCAATACCAATTTTGTGTTATTCAATACCAATTTTGTGTTATT